CCGCGCTTTACGACCGTGCACTGCATACGAACATAATGGCAAACAAAAATCATCGCCGCTTTGAGGCAAGTACACTTTTGCAACCAGGCACTGCTCTCCATGCCGCATCGCCTCCACGCTTGTCAGATTATTCATAACCGACCAAATTCAGACCCCCCTCCCCCTCCCCACCGGACAAATAGGACACCTCTCTGCGGATCAGCGTCACTCGCTCGTCAGACGACCCGACCTTCACGCCCCGCGGCTCGGCCAAGGGCGCGGCGCCGTCCGCCGCCGGTCGGTGATACATCACCCGCCTGCCGGCCGCACTGTGGGCAGATGGGCCACCGAGCCCCCTCCGGGCTACACCGCGTCACACCGGCTGATGTGCGAGGTCTCCTTGACTCCTATGACACCGGCGACGGCCCAGTGTGCGGTCCCCCGCCAGCGCGGTCACCGGGGAAGGAGTGGGGTCCCAGAGAGGTCGGCGGGCTATAAACCTGGCTGAACAGCGGGCTTCCCTGCGAGACGTGATACTTTTATGCCTAGCCAACTGTATGCTGCAGAAGGCTATGTAGGAATTAGAGTTGATTTAGGAACGATAAAGACGAGGATGTCTGGTGAAATATGGCAGGGAGAAACAAGGATAGAACACATGGAAAAATCATGCAACATTCGTCTCGGTAATGTCATAACCAACAATCAAGGACTCGGAGTGTCTCGGGCGAAGGTTCATTCATAAAAGTTGCCATAAAAGCACGTAAAAGCAGCCCTATACCTTCTTTGCGCTGCATACAGCCACGAAAACATGCATTTGTTCACTTGCAAGCAACGCACAAACATCCATTAACCACCGCCCCCGGAGCTTAGCTGCACCCACCGCCGCAATAGCAGACGCTGAGCTGTGGATGCGGCAGTCGCCACCCTAACTTCCGCAGCTATCGGCGGAGTTTTAGCCGCTCTCGACCGATAGACACAACAGCGCACCTCCACCGAGCGACGCGCAGTAACCCCACATCCGGGCCGGCGCCGGTACCCGACACCCGCCGGCGGCTGCAGCGTGCTCCATCAGAGGAGGGTGCGGCAGGCGGTGTGCCTCTCCGCGGCCAGGCACCGCGCCGCGCGGAGCGCCAGTCGTGCTCAATAGGAGGAGCCGGTATGCTACACAACACACCAGGCAGGCGAGGTGTGGCGGGGGCGTGTCGAGCACACAGAGATGGGCGGCTCGTGTCCAACAGAGCCGGCGAACAATCCGAACAATCCGCCGAAGCGATCCGACACCGGCAGAAGTGCGCGGTTGTTTGACGCTGACGGCTGTTTTGCACTCAGCTCGGAGGATTAGCCAGACTGGCAGACAACGACTAATGATGCGGACTGAGACACCGTCACGGGAATCGGAGGCTGGCAGCGTGGTCAAAACTGGCGGCCACGGACACGAAACAGCGGAGATAGCGTCGTGTGGTAGGAGAAAAGTAAAAACAGTTACTTGTTCAGCAGTCTGCTTGAAATGAAATCGTGGTCGAACGCCAAATCTGGCATTTAACTACAAAGCAGTGGGAATATAACAGGAATTTGAGGAAGAAATTGGCGTTCCTGTCCGACCGATAATTGGCAAAGTCTATAAATCTTCCTGACTGACTAGGGTTAACTCCACCCCACGACAGACACGACAGCGCAAATGAGCCGAACGCCGTCATCTACAATCATTCACGACCTGTGCTCCAATCGCCCACATGTTTATCGACGCTCCAGAGCGCGGTCATCATTTCACAGCTGACGTGATATTATTAGATGGACGGCGTCGATGTTTGGCCGATGGCCAGCCGCCACTCGCCGCCGGGTACACTCGGGTCAGCAGGGGGTTCCGCCGCCGCCACGGGAGGGGCACGACAGACAGACTGACGCGCGAGCCCTCTCCACACGGCGTCTGGCCCCGGCAGCAGCGCGCCCGACGGCTTCCGACGGCCGCTGTCGCACCCACACAGCACCGCCATGACTCGCCGGAACCATTGTTTACCGCGGCTTCAAAACAGCCGAGCAAATCACCACAACACATCCTTTCGCACTGTCATGCCAGTTTTTCCCGAGTTCAAACTCATGCGCACTTGCCCCTGGCACTCGCGGCAAAGTAGAGCACAGAGATAATGAATGTTACCAGCCAACCAGACTGGCACTCGCAGCGTTCCCATTCTGCCAGAAAACGCTCATTTCGTGACGTGCACAATTGCAGCGGCCATGGGAACATAGAGCGACACAAAGAGGCAGAACACGCCAGCCGCATCGCCGGCGCGTGGCGACGAGAAAGGGGCCGGTCTCGGCACGTCTCAGGCACGTTAACGGGACGTCCGAGGCACGTCCAAGGCACATCTGAGCGCGCCCAGACCAGGCGTGGCCGCGGGCCGCTGCCCGCCAAGGGGCTGATGTCAGCCACTTGTGACGGCGGGAGCACAGACGGCTCACCAGCCGGGGCAGAGACCGACCCGTCGGTGAAGGCCAGTCGGGTCTTCAGATGGACACTGTTGTGGGTCGTCCACAGTAGACGGCGTCTGCCGTCTGCCGAAGCTGGCATTGCTTCGGGCCGCAGTCAGCACGGTCAGATTGCAGCTGGGTCAGTGAGGCCGGCTAAGCAGTCTTGTTGCTGCTGCTGACGTGACACGAGTAAAACGTTTCGCATCAGCAACGGCGGTGGGGGGCGAAGAGAAACTGCGTTCCCAGGGCGGCTGAGCTCAGCAGAACGCAGATTGGCGTCAACACGACAGTATATTAGCGGCTGTGCGGGAGGTTATGATTAGCAGGCGTTTCAAAAATACGCCACTAAATCCTGATGCATGTCTGAAATACGCGGCGGGAAATGATTTGTGAATCTAAACACCGTCCTTCGCTTAGTGGATTCCGACATTTAGACTAGCCGACGGAGAATCCTAATGAGTTCCCTAATGACCTGGACTAGATTTAATTATCTTCTAAGCCTGGGGGCTGTACGAAGCCGCTGACGCTGAGTTAGTGCCATTATCCCGACCACCATCCCCGTCATCCATCCTCAAAGTTCCGCGGACCGAACTCATGCCGGGCGTATCAAATAGGCCAGCATGGCAGTGGCTGAGAGTCCGTCTCCGCTGGGTGGCAACGCCTCGTTTTCGGCCGCCTCTTTCTCGCGCCTTCGACGCCAATTCTCCGGTGTTTTCTGTCGTCTGACGCCACCCCGGACCAGCAGCGATGGCCGGCTGTCAGGTTGTCGGCCGACTTCTCGCCTCGTCCGGGCGCCACCTCGCCACCGTACCGCGTCCCCTCGGCACCGCCTCCGCGGGTCGCTAATGAGCGGCCGGGTCAGGACCTGTGGCCGGCGGAGCGGGACCGGACCCGTCGCCGTATCGGCGCTACAAATTTCCGCCGGTCGGCGCGCTCGGCATCCCGGGGCGCCGATTGCGTCCGGCTGACAGCTGGCAGGGAGCGGCTGCTGACGCGGCGGCCGAGCCGGTCCAGAGGAGGTGCCGACTCCGCCCCGGAGACAGGAGAGCAGGAAAAGGCACAGCGATAGGGTGAAAGGGTGGATAAGGTGCCGGAGAGACGCAGATGCATCGGTGGAACTGGGTAGAGAAGGCGGGCACACAGCGGCCACACAACATATGGGTACAGAAAAGAGGAAAAATGAACGGAAATGAAAAGCTGGTTAGACAATAACACAAAAGGGAGCAGGAAAACTTTAACTGAAAATAAAACTATCCGGAAGACAACGCGGAAACATCTGCATGAAACAAAGTGCAATAAAGCAGAAGCGCAGCGACGGACAAGATGCCACTGGAGTGAGCAAGAGCCAAGAAACCGGAGAAAGGCTAAGGTAGTAAGTGCCAAGCGGGAGCAGCACAGCACTCTGAAGCCAGTCTGTGTCATGTGCACGGTGCAGGGAGTGTCCCGCTAGACTCTCTCGGGCACCATTAACTCCCACGGTGCGCGATAGGCGCCGTATATGGCCGGCAGGTGGGCAGACGGCGCTGGCAGAGACCCACCCGCCCAGCCCAGCCCAGCCGGTCGGCAAGCACGGCGCCGGCAGAGACCCACCCAGCCCAACCAAGCCCAGCACAGCCCGGTCGAGCTGCACGGTCGGGCTGCTCGGCGCCGCGTCACTCCATGAGGAGACGGATAGGCACAGGGGAGCGGCTGGTCTGCGAGGCAAAGCGAGAACCAGGGAGGCATAGAGAGCCATGGCGAGGCACAGCGAGACATGATGAGCGAACGGCGTGGGCGGATGGATGGCCAACTCACTGCACTAGCCTAGGGAGGTGAGGCACAGCTAGTCAGCACCGCAAGGAAGATAGGCGGGTGGTGCTTGGGAGGGTCATCGCCCGGTGCCTTGGTCGGACGGTGAAGAGAGAGAGAGAGAGAGAGAGAGAGAGAGAGAGAGAGAGAGAGAGAGAGAGAGAGAGAGAGAGAGAGAGAGAGAGAGAGAGAGAGAGAGAGAGAGAGAGAGAGAGAGAGAGAGAGAGAGAGAGAGAGAGAGAGAGAGAGAGAGAGAGAGAGAGAGAGAGAGAGAGAGAGAGAGAGAGAGAGAGAGAGAGAGAGAGAGAGAGAGAGAGAGAGCGGGGGAGGCCGGCACGCCAGCCGGACATGGCCGGCCGCAGGTGGGCGGGCAGAGGGAGGGAGGAACAGGTGCGCGCGCCTCCACTCGTCGCGCCCGACTTCCTACTCCGATTGTATCGGCACAGTGCGAAATACGAGTGGGAGCAGATACCGATGGAACTCCCCCTATCTGTTGGTACTTCAGAAACCAACAACCTAACTAGCCAGCCAGCTCTTGAGATATTTTGCTGCGGTGGAGATTGCAGCTTCCTAGTGCACCAAAATTGTTTTTGTTAAGACGGTTGAGCTTTGAGTAACTTTGGGCGATAAAGTGAAGCAATTCTGGTGCGGACCCAAGTTTTATCACTCGGTAATTGCGCTGCACTCATTCAGTGATCAGCCATCAGTACTTGGTTCTCGTGAGGTATTCAATACGCATTACTCGCGCGGTACTCTGTACTCACCCTAAGCTTCCTGTTGAGCTTGTGGCAGTAGCGGTAGAGCATGGCCAGGTTGAGTGGCCCGAAGTCGCAGTAGAAGTTCTCATAGACGAGCTCTTCATCTACGCAGAAGTAGTGCGTGTTGGCGGTCGACTTCGGTCGCAGGTGGGAGCGGAGCGTCACGAAGTAGAGCCGGTCTGGGGAGAGATGGAGGCGAGAGGACACGTCAGACGTTGGAGATGAGACCGACAGACGGCGGCGGCAGCTGGCCGACGGCCGAAGGCAGGTCCCGGGCAGCAGCTGGTGCGTAGGACAGAGCTGTCTCACGCCGCCCTAATGATCGCCACCCAGTGGCGGCATCCCGGATAGATCCCACCGCCTGCCGTCGGTCGGGTCAAACCCGGGAAGGCGGGCGGCTGAGCCGCGGGAATTTAGCATCCGCCCGGTGTCAGAGAAGCCTAGCGGTGACGAATGATCCCCGGTCAATGGCGCGCCCGCGGGGTCTGTTGGTTCAGCCGTCAGCTGTAAATCAGGCGTGATGTCAGCTACATTGGAACCCGGCGGCCGCCTGCGGGGCGAGAGAGAGGCAGATGCAGGAGGAGGGTGAGGGAAGCACCAAGACGTGCTGAGCTCAATACGTCATCAGGGGAACCCCCAGTAAGTCAGCCGCAGCACGAGACTGCATCAGCAGACAGCTATGGTCGGGATCTCGACACACTTCACACACAGGCGTGACTGCACATGAGTTCCAGCTGCACAGGGCTCGGGCTACCATGCTTATTATTGAGCCTGCCCCACTGCACGAAATTAGATCGAAATGTGACGCAAGCCATCACTTCTGGACTAGTCTTTGAGGCTCGAGCAGCAGCCTCCGCAGTGGTCTGCAGGACAAACAGCCAACGCGACACATCCCATCGCTCACCAGGCACAGATACCGGCCAAGTGACCGAAACAGACAGAGACAAAGACATAGATACACGGACGCAGACACAGGGATTGAGACGCCAACGACAGGTGCAGCAGCGCTGAGACAGCGGCGGCGCCGACCAAAGACCCGGGCAGAGGGAACGACAAACGAGCCCGCCAACAGCCGGACAGCATAAGCAAGCCGGGCGGTAATTTACACAGCCGGAGCCAGAGCTGCATTCCGGTGTGAGACGGTGAGCATATTCGCTGGGGTCAAACTGACAGACCCGGGCAGAAGAGCAAAGGATCCGGACAAACAGACCTGCCAGTTCTGTATTAGTTAGACTTGCCGGTGACAATTGGCAGACATGTTGGACCAGTGGACCAGGACTAAAAGACCCACTAGCTCTGTACCAGATGACCCCCTGTGTCGGCACCGTGTGAACTCTGCCGTTCGGCGGACCGATGTGAGCCACCGACAGCCTCTGACCCGGGGAGCGATTGGTCCGACTCCGGTCAGTCGTCGCCCTGTCAGCGCTGTGCTCAGTCTCTGACGACAGCATCAACACTGAGCGGCGACCGACAGCCTCGTTACCAAGTCGAGCCGAGCAGTAAGGGACAACTTAGACTTACGAGCCGGCAGTGGTGGGTGGATCAGACAGCCCGAGCGGGGACTGCCCACGCGACCATGACCCTCCGCTGACCGGCCGCGGTACAGTTAACCGTCCGGTCACGGCGGCGCGGCGCGGAGCGGAGGCGTCATACCCGGCGCGCCGTGAGGTCGGGCGGCCGCCGGGCCGGGTCCGGTAGGAGGATGTAGGAGCGGCGCCGACTGGAGGTCGCAGGAGGCGGGTGAGCGCGGAGACTGCACAGCAGGGGTCCGGGTTGGGCCGGTACCGACCGAGGCACGGCCCAGCTGTGGGAGGCGCCATGATTAACGCACCCCAAACACGGGCCGCATGGCTCAAACAATGGCATCATACCCGGGGAGCGTGTAGCCATGTACTTCTGCCGGTCGCCGCTAGATGCTGCGAACCGCGAGTTACAGTTTTGTTAATAGGTGTCGCTTTTACCAGTCTCTAAATTGCTAAAGCCTTCGATTAAGTTGTGCGCCCCCCTTTTTAACGTTCCGTTCGCTTAAACTGCTGTATTGTTTGGACAACTGCATTGGCTATGTGTATATTAAAAACCATATGTATTCGTTTATTACATTCGATGTTCTCGCCAACATGTGTGCAATACTAGATAACTAAGTTCGTATGTAAAACTATATATGTCTCGATTTTGTGGCGAAATACAAGAGATATCTGTATGTTACAGTGTTTCTACTGGCTACACCAGCCAGATTGGTGACCCCGCGTTCTGCGCACTAAGGGATCGCTATCCCCTCGTGTTCCCTGGCACACCGACACTGGCCTGCACCCTGAGCTATCTCCTCCAGCTCTCTTTGTGTAGGAAGGAAGTGGCGGATGGTGTGTCTTCACGAGGATCCTTCTTTTGTGCTGAGTGTAACTGGATAACGCCGACTACTACTGCTGCACTACGATCCAGCTACATCATCGGCTCACCTTACCGTCCGGCTACCTCTGCAGCTGCACCGCAGCACCTGCCGATCGCCGTGTCGCCGTCGCCGCCACCGATCTTCCCGACCATTGCTCTCGGCAGCCATGGACCAGAAGACCCAGCCTGCCGGCGCCGGTGCAGCCGCCGGAGCCGGTGCAGCCGCCGGCGCCGGTGCAGCCGCCGCCGCCGCCTCGCATGCCGCTGCTGCTGCTGCTGCTGCCGCTGCCGCCCATGCGCTGACCATAGGTCTGGATGCTGCTGTTGTTGGCTGCTTGCAGATCCAGACCGTTGGTTCCGCGAGCACGATCGGTGGGTGTCGCTGGAAGAACACTGTACTCGGCTCCAGTGTCGATGAGGAAGGTGATGCCAGTGTTGTTGTCCTTGAGTCTCAGAAGGCCGCTGGCTGGAGGGACGTCAGGGTTGAGCAGGGCAGGTGCAGACGTCTGTGTCACCTGTCCTACTGCTGGTTTCCCGAGGTCTGAGTTGCTGTTGCAGACCACGAGCACGGTGACTGACATGAGCGCGCGTTGGTACCGAACTTGTGGTGGTACCAGCAGTAAGAAGCACCAGCGCCGGTAGACGTGTTGGTTGCAGGGCTGGGTGACCGGGCAGCAGCAGACAGGTCGCGTGGTGGACGGTGGCGAGCGCGGCCGGGGGCACGGGATGCAGACCTCTCTCGGCGGCGCGTCTCGTCCACCAGTGTGGCGACTGATGTTGTGAGGGCCGTGATACCAGTCAGCAGCTGGCTCATCAGGTCTTGGAGGTGGAAGGGTCCTGCAGGAGCAGCAGGTGAGGCTGCAGCAGGCGCAGAAGTCGATACCGCGGCGAGAAGACCTGAGGTAGGTGCAGCGACGTCCGACTGCTGCGGAAGCTCCAGGAGTCGGTCGGCAGTGCTAGCGATGGTCGCAAGGTCCGTCCCAGGCGGCAGGCACTGGAGGAAGGGCTGAGTCCGAGGCGGAAGAGCATTGAGGAAGATCTGGCGGATGAGCGGGGAATCTTGTGAGCCTTCAGCTTCAGCAAGGTCCAGGAGATGCCGGAGGAATTGGGAAGGACGCCTGTCGCCGAGTTGTTGGCCAGAGAGCAGGCAGCGAAGACGCTGTTCGACTGATTTGCCGAACCGCTGACGGATGGCGTCGGAAAGGATGCTGTAAGGTCGGTCTAGAGGAGGGTTGCGGAGGATGTCGGTGAAGTCGCGCAGGAGGTGGCCAGGAAGGAGAGTAGCGGCGATCCGGAAGCGGCTGAGCTCATCGTCCACAGCTGCCTGAGAGAAGAAGAGGTCGAGCTGGACGAGCCAGATCACGGGGTCCTCCTCGAAGAAGCGCGGCGGTGCGACGTGGCTGCCGGCGCCGTGCTCCACCAGCGAGTTGGTGGTTCTCTTCAGCCTCTCGCCTTCTTCTCGCGCAAGTTCACGCCCACCCAACGCCGCTACAGCACCTTTGGACGGGAATTGCCGCTGCGAAGGCCAGTCAGGAGCCAGCCAATGCATCGATCGCGTGATCAGTTTGATCCAAACAACTTTAATCGCCAGCTTTCAGCCCTCCCCCGCCGCCTCAACCGCTGTGGATTTCAGCCCAACAAGCCACCGCGCCTCCGGCCAGATCAAGGACAAGCGGGAGGTCATAACATCAGCGACGGTTGTATCGGAGGCATATCGTTGTCTGTGTAGAGAAGGGTCTGACTGCACCGAGCCGACGCGCAGTTCGACGACGGCATCTGTCGGCCCGAGGTCAAACAGCGGGGCTCCAACAGGGCGGGACAGCAGCCGTACAAGCTCCATTGCTGCCGTGGAACCTGTCAACCCGCTTCATCTCTGCAGCACGGAAGGTCATGGGCCGTCCGAACTATCCACTTCCATCATAGCCTAACGCATCAGCGCAGTCCCATGGGATCAGCATTCAACAGTTCACCAGTCAGCCAAAATCAGCAGCAAACAGAATCCATCTAAAGCCAGCAGCCATCGGCATTCACCGACAGACCAGCCGACTACCTCACGGCTCTCAGCCAGGGGCGGCAGAGGCTCAGGCCGCCTCCAGCGAACCGTGACACCGCCGCGGCCCGGTCACGGCCGGCTCCGCGGTCCGGCCGAGCCCGTGCGCCCCAGCTGAGCCGGACAGGAAAAACCGGCCGCACCGACGTACCGTGACCGTCTCCTGGCCAGCCGACCGACCGACCGGGCGACCTGACCTCTGAGGACCGTGTCGGTCACTAGGGGCGGGGAGAAGAGAGTATGTCGTGTCAGAAAAGATGGCAGCGTTTACTGCATCGGGATCGCTAGAAATACGACTCCAGAAGCCCGGGTTCTGCTGATCACAGCAACAGCTGTGATGGCCTACCGTGAGAGACAGTCATCCCTGCTAACCCCCGCATCAGAACAGCTTTCCACAGCAGCCAATCCGGCTGTGCCACTCGGGTACACAGGGGCGGTATAGTCGGTGCGGGACGTGCCGCTATCATGCCCGCTGCCCTACACGGACACAGTCGGCTCTCGGAGCACCCAGTCGGGCTTTAGGGCGTCACCCTACATTACGCCTGCTCTGGGCAGTTTGCGCCGCGTCACGGCTCGCCGTACTGCGTGACGCCCAGCCGCGTCACGTCGTAACGCCGAGCCGTGCGCGCCGCAGCCCGCCCTGAAGCGCCAGACTCGCCGCTCGCCCAACTCGCGGCGATGCGTGGCGCGGCGCGGCGCGCGGTCGGCGCGACGGGCGATAATTCAATGGCGACGGCGGCTGAGAGGGTGCCAACCGGGCCAGACAGTGCCGGCCCACGGCCGCGACCCGGTCGGGGACGGCGCGGTAGCCGACAGACGGCCGATAACCTGTCATCTGGGGGATACAGAGCGGGTGACACGGTGACTGGGCGCTGGCTGGGCAACTAGCAATGCACGGGCTGGGTGTACTGTGTAGCGTGAGTTCGGTAAAACGGAAGCTTTGGCAGGAGTTGGGTGATGATGCACCCTAAAGTCTGAACCTTGATCGTTGATTCAAGTGGGTGATAGTTCTGCGAACGATAGTGGCGATAGATGCGTATCGAAGGCCCTTCCCGTGCGGAATACGATACTTCCGAGATTGGATTTTTCATTGATAATTATCAAAGCACACAAACAGGTAGGTAGGTACGGGATTCGTTCAGTTGGACCTACATAGATGCGTTCAGTTAATGAGTTAATAACTATTCTATTTTAATACCTATTTGATTGGTCTGGGGTAAATGTTGATCTGCAAATGGCATGCAAGGACTGTCATTGCTCTAAGACCACTAGTTTTTTGTCGATTCTACTGCAAATGATTTCAGCACTAGGTAACAAACAACAATAATAATACAAATGACAGAGGAATCAAAGCCATAACTACAAGCACTTGCAGTTGGAACAAAACTAGGTTTTTCATCATTTGCAACTGATGATGGCCAACCTGAAGAGGGCAGTCACCGTGAAAGCAGTCACCATTATAGCATCACAAGTATTCAGGTGGTACATGTTATGTAAACTGAGGGCAAATGTCAGGTCAAGTAATAGGAATGGATTGGATTATGGATGAATTTGACAAACCATCACTTATCTTACCATCACTTTAAAAGAACCAATATTCATTGAGCCTGAGGACAGGAGCTTGAACAGATCAGAACCCGGCCCACAGGCACATAGGCCTGAAAATGTTTTCTGGCAAAGTACCTACTTCAACTTCATTATTGATTTCAATATGCAGTCAGTAGGTACCTAATCAGTTGTTCATGTGACATGAATGCCACTGCAGTAACTTATCCAATCTACAACTCAGTGAACTGGCAGAGGCTGAGAGATGCAATTGGTACTGGAATCATTTAATCATTCCAGCAATTGTTTCTTTTTAGTGGTGATATTTTAAGCTGAATGGCACTGCAAGTGACAATGTTGTCTTCCATGATCATTTTGATTTGGACCATTGAAAATACAGAAAGGTGATTTTCAATGCTGGTGGGTGAGGTACTCCTCCAGAAAAGTTCCCACAACTATTTTTCAACTCCAGCTTTTGTTACATCTACAGGGTGTCTCAAAAGTTCGCTTACAGGTACCAGCCATGCTTTTTTGTCAATAATTCTGAATCAACATGAAATTAGCAGTCGAAATTTTGCATAGACATTGGTAACAACCTTCCTCAAGCAGCTTCATTGTTTTCAAGCGCATTCGACCCTTCATGAGCACACAAAAAGGGTTCACCTCTGACCATGGATCAGGCATGAAAATGGAGGTCGCATACTCGGGTCGGCTGAGAAACTCTCTGCTTCACGAGTAATGGGAATGGTTAGGTCGGAAATGACACATGGCAAGGTGTCGGCGAGGATGAGTACAACATGATGGTCATCAAATAAAAACGGTGGCTAAAATTTTTGAAGGACAAAACCATACGAGACTAACAGCGCTTTGAACGACCCTTGTACCGCAGCAGACTCGTGCTCCGGAATGCAGCTGAAAATGCAGTCCTAACTATTGAAAACTGACTAGAAGCTAACAGACAGAGGTTACCCAGTTTCAAAAATTGCAGGTCATCACAAAATAAAGACAAAATATCATTTAAAATTGTTTATAATATCTATAACGCTAAATTTTGAGGGAAAATAATGCGAAAATCGTCAATGCCGAGGACAAGTGACCCTCCAAAAGTGTCAATTAATGTAAAGTTTTATCTAACGAAGTTTCAAGAGGCAGATCTGGAGCAAATAGCTTTCTTTTACACACAAAATCCGGACAAAACCGCACGATGGACAGGTTTTGGCCGTTTACAAAGCAGAACCTCTCCTGAGGAAAACACTCCGGAACCCAGCGAAGGTCTTGGCATTGGGAATGACGAGCGTTCGGGATTTGCAAATTTTGCAAAATGTGTCTAAGAAACAGATGGCCGACACATTCCGCTACGATATGCTGCGAAAAATTTGCCCCTGGCACTTCCCATTTGTTCAGGAATGGGGTTGTTTTGAAAAGGAAAATGGTGCTTGGGAGGTCGGCGCCAGTCATTCATGAAGGAGTTAGCGCCAGAGAAGACCTACAAAATACTCACGGATGGTGTCGATGCAAGCTATCGGCTTTCAGGGAGAAGCGGATGTTGCCGGGGAGCTCGTCAAACCTAAATCCGACGCAGAAACTGCGGGGGATTCCCCTACAAGAGCTTGAAAGCTGGTAACCTTTTATCAGCCTCCGGCAGCTGACGGAGTGACGAAAATCGGTATGGGCAAATATTTTTGGAGATACAGCAAAGGGTTTGGTTTCCAACCTTCCGAATCAGTTGTCAAAGCATGCATATTTGTCTAGTGTACACACGGACACCAAAACCTTAGATTTTTGGCCGGTTCTTATATGCTTTATTGACATGGGAAATGTGTAAGCGAACTTTTGAGACACCCTGTAGTACACATCAATAAACTTGCACTGACACACCTTGAGCTGTCCAATTTTATCTTTTTATCATTTCAAACAAACTCTTGTAAGGAGCATATAGCTTTTGCTTTACAAGGGGACACACTTTTTCTATTTCGAATGCTGCTGAACTGACGGTGGATGAAACAAATTCTACAAACCTGAATCTGCCAGTGCCTTTGATCATCAGATCACCAGTCAATAATGCAAAAGGGAACGAAATTGAAATGAAACAATCCATGAGCAATGAGCATTGAGCAGAAGCAACCTTTCAAATTTATAAATATAACCATAAGCATTATAAAATATTATGGCCATTATTCACACAATTTACCTGGGATGTATTCTGATGCACACACAAGGATGTCATTATCTTCAATCTTCATGATTCGCTTGCCGCTCTCGCCTGCTTGACACCGTCCAAGCAAGGCAACTCCAATTCAAAAATTACTTTAAGGCTTACAATGGTACTTAAAGCAATGATTTATGTATGATGCTTGTAAAAACGGCATAAAACCAATAAAACGTTAAATATTCAGCACCCAAAATGAAGATGTTGAACAAGGATGATCGCTTCTCAGCTCACCCGGGTTAAAACATCGATAACAGGGATCTAAAAAGTCAGTAAATCACTTCCACTCCATCGATATAGATTTTCTTATAATAAAACACTGTGATTTCAATTTGAAAAGATGTGTAGCCGAATCACACACGACCGGCCGAAACGCAACCCAACGCGACGAGCTCTCAGTAGCGTTTGTTGACAACAGAGTTCAAATTTTGTTCACCAATGAACACCGGGCTCTGACATGACGTCACTGGCTGACGAGCAAGTACACTGTTCAACATAGCGAATATGAAATTTACCGACAGATGTGAAGCGAAAAAATAATGAATTTGGTTTTTAATTGAATTTATTTGTTCACAAATTATGCTTTGTCATAATACACACTGTTTGCCTTTTCTTGATGTCAAAGTGCAACGGATATTTGACAGGTATTGCCATCTATGGCCGAAGCCTTGTAGCTGACCTTTACTTCATGCTAGCGCCACCGCAGTGGCGTGACAGCAGCCAGCGCCACCTAGCCAAGAGTTCGATTCTCTCGACACATGCTGCCATCTATCGTACACTATGAGCGCTATTGAATATTGAAGTTGACAAGACAACTACACAAGTGTCTGATTCCGATAGATGAAGTCTCGTGTCAGGTTATTACAGAATTGCTGCTTTTGTTCTGACTACTGCTTTCGTCCGACTGGTAAGTTAGCAGGCAGTGGTTTGTTCCGAACCAGAGTGCATGTCAGTCTGTGTCTGCCTGGTTGCGTGATGTTAGCTTTCAGCCACTCCCGAGCATCAGACACGAGGTCAAGGTGATCATCCTAGTATGCGACAGCCGTGAGGGGACAGATGACAGATGTGTCTACAGGGCTGGGGCAGATCATACAGAACGACGTGTCTGTCCCTTCGCTAATAGGCAAGGGCAGGGTCAGAGGTGGCGAATATGTGTTTTGGGCAGTTTGGTGTGATAATCAAGGCGACCACAATCAATAAGCAGTCTTGGGTTAGGTAAAGGCAATCCAATTTTGCTCATCCACCTCTCGTTGTTCACCCCTCTCGTCCTTTGTAACTTCAGGAAGAAATTCAAAGCTCCTTTCCCGATTTTGCACGTGTTTTAGCGAGCAATAATAAATGTGGAAAAAATGATCGTCACTATTGCCGCCAAAATTTTCCAATGGATTGTTTCGGGGTAGGGGGTAATAAAGAACTGCTGCGCTCATTGAAGAACTAACGAATGAAGTGATGATGTCACTGGCTGCCGTGCATTTTGCATCGTATCCCGGTGTATACGTAAGTTACCCATCTAATCAAGGCCATCTCATCTAATGTTCCTCGACAGACCTAACGGGTGCCACGAGATTCATGCGGCCATTACCGCTGCTATCTCTGTGTTTCACAAACAGCCGATGCCTGTCAGCTGCACTTTCAGGATCTGGGATTCCCCAGACATTTCAATTTATTTAGCTGGGACATGCTAGTGCGGCCGACGTTACTGGGCCGGTGTCCGCCAGCCAATGTGGTGAATCGGATATTCAACCTGACTAGCTGAAGATCGGCGGGTGCTTTTAGGCCTGGTTTTGTGAAATTGAGTATCTGATGCTGAGTGCTGACTGGAGCTCCCGGGAAGGGTGTCTGCGGGATGTCAGTAACGGCCGCTTTGGCGTTCGGCGATCATCTCGCATTCGATGGTCCAAAAACGTGCGGCACATTCAGCTGATGTCCTAATGCCGTTTTTCGGTTATGTTGGGTACGATATAGTGTAAAAAATCATATGCAAATATCGACAAGGGATTTCAAAATGTGATCGTTCACCATACCCTAGAAAAATACAACAGTGCTAGTCACTGGTAGATGCCTGTGAGACTAACCGTATGATGCGTTCGAGCGAAGATGACAAAAGTTCGCTCGAATGCATCAAATCACGTAATGATTCGTCACTCACCAAACTAACAGTGAGGCGAGGGCTGTATAGTATATACCTACAATGAACTTACGATTGATAGCAGCTTCGGTCTCAGTTGTATCACATAAAGTTTTCGTTCTTTCTGTTTCTGAGCCCTTTATTATGCTGGGACACTTCTGACAGTTGTTTTGCAGGGCTGGCGGGCACCGAAGCTCCCACCCCCGCAGCATTCACTCGTTGTGTGGTCTATGCCGTTTTGCTTTTAGCCCTCACATTTCGTTGGCAGTAATAGTTCGGTAAGTTGACTAGCTAATGGATTCGACTGACGTATGTGGCTCGGTTCACGGGGTGGGTGGCAGAGGCAGACAGCTGCAGCCGGGAGGTATGTACTATTACTACCTAGTCCCTGCCTACCATTTACCAATCATTTAATGCGTGCATGTGAATTATAGGTGTAAAGTGTAAACTGCAGTTTGATAAGATATCTTTATTTGTTAGACCTATTTATTGATGGCGCTTTAAACTGTAGATGCTTGAACCCTATGGTGCCTACCTATATTATATATACCTACACGAGCCACATCCTTATATGCACGTCCCTGTACCTACGGGGATTGTTCGGCTGATCCAGCAGCCTCCTGATCGGGATCAGCCCGGAGACTGTCCGATGAATGAAGCAACTCCTCGGCCTTTGACGTTATAAAGCGAGGAGTACAGCGGGACATATGTGCAACAGGCTGACGGAAACTTGAAGCATTGGTGACCTACGGGCCCTTCAGCTGTAAGGATTGTAAATTAATGTGGGCTGTGCACCTACGCCTGCATTACCAATGTTCCTGCATCCGCCGGGGCGCCATTTTCGACATCGTGTCAAGTCTCGAAATTATAAACGCTGGGTTCTTCTTCTTGTAAATAAATGCGGATGCCCCTTCCCGAAACAAATTTTAACTCTTCTTTCATCATAATGCAAAACTGTTGACCTGCTAACCTCAGACGATGCCGTTTATCGCCCAAACCCTTCGTCATTGCTCCTCCTCCGTCTGCATTTTACGCTGCACCTTCTTGTATTAACTATTAAGTAAATCAGCATTGTTAAATTATTCGACCTTCGCCGTCCACCTCCGCTGCAGGAGCGCGGAAGGCACGCACCTCCCGCTGACGTCATAGCGGCGGCGTTACGTCAGCTGAGGCTCGCCCACGCGTGCCGCGGGCGGCGCTGGAGCAATTCAACCGAACGCCGAAGGTCGTCTGCTTGGAAAGCGGGCCGGACGCCCAGCTGAATAACTTGGCATTGCGGCGTAGAGTCCGGTATCCGACACAGACCATACACCCCCAGGTGAGTTTATTAAGTCCTTTTGACGTCATGGCCAGCTATCGTGACGTCAGAGATGCGAACGGATTGTAATATTGGCATGTGGTATGATTGACTTCGGTGGCGAATTCGGCGGTGCTGTTTGGCTCGTGCATCAAACGTTCTAGCTACTTGATAATAAGCGAAGAATGTCCTTCATGCCTCGCGCTGCACGTCATCCAGTCCCCTCCAGTGTCCGATGTCCCAACAGTAAAACATAGAATTAGCAGTCGCGCTGCCTACGCATGTATTGTCAGAAAAATATACAGTATACGGTGTATCTAGCGAACCTGAATAGCATGTGCGTGGCGGCAGTGTCGCACGTACCGCGGCACCGGACAGCACACACCACGTAACAGCTGAGAGCGCGGCCGGCCGGCTCCCGCCCGCTCCGGCACCGGGAGCCCGGCTCCCGTCAATGCCCGCGTGACAGCGCACCCAACAGACACGAGCCGACCTCGGCCGAGGTCAACATTCAGAGCGACAGCCAGCGCGGCCGGCGACCGAGCCGGCACACCGCGACGCCTCTGGTATCTGGCGACAAAACACTTAACACATAGTTCAGGGTCCTCCCGCCAGGGGCGCGCCCGTCGCCATCCGACAGAAACGTATGGTCAGTGTTCAAACAGCAAGATGTTGCGTTGGCCAACAAAAATAGCGCTTCTCTCTTCCTTATCGGCTAGACAGTGTAACAGTGTGGCGCGGTGGTACATTAACCGGGAATTTCCCAGACGCGCCCCATAAAACTGGCACGCGACGACGATTAAACGAGGATTTCACCCAATGACGGTACAAAAGAGATCACATCGCTTCTATGTGACGTCGACACGACACCTCTTTCACAGCTGATTAGCCGCCTCACACAATATCGTTCCAATATCAGTCCCGCCCGGCGAGGCGGCTCCCCGCCGCCAGTACACACAAACATACACCGTTGGCTGCTTCACGCAGCTGCCTCTCGCCGATCAAAAATAGTCTAGCGTCACCCTCCCGGTCCCACACGCTTCTACAGTTGTACTGACAACAGAACTTCGTTGCGGCAATGTTGCACGCGTTCCCCAGGTAGACATGTGAGCGGGCGGCCGCGCGCCGCCGGCCGCCGGCCAGGTATGTACAGACGGCGCGCCGGCCGGCGGCTGGTATCACAGTGCGGCCTCCCTCCTCCCCGCACCCCTGTCCCTCCGGCCCGCGCCCTATGCGGCCGCCTCGTCCTGCTCCACCTTGATCTGCATCAGCGGCGGCACGAGCGCCTGCTCGGTCTCCATGGCCAGCGGGTCGCGGGCGGGGGCCGGCGCCGGCGCACGCCGCTCCGTGGTCAGGTCCTGCGGTATGCTCAGGTCGTGCGGCCCTTCGTCCTCGTCCATCGAGTGTGGAGTGGTTGAAGCCGAGGCAGCAGCGGCGGACGCTGCCGCCGCGGCCGCCACCACGGACGCCGGCAGGTCGTACGTCTTGTGCTCGACGTGAATGACCTCCGTGCCCTGCGGCAGCGCCTGGATGGCCTCGGCGCCCTGCGCGGCCGGGTGCAGCCGGTGGGGCGAGGACGGAGAACGGGGCGCCGACTTGGGCGCCGTGCCGCGCAGCATCGAGATGTTCTTGACGCTCTTCAGCTCGTTGGGGTTGCGAAGGAACCTGAGGAGGAAAGAAAGCCAGACGTCAGCCACACGTGCCGCATTTCAATTAAACTGATCCCGAGATACGGCATGAAACAATGTAGTTGTAATGATCTCAGACGTATGAGCTTAACATTAACGCCTTGTATAGTCACTGATAAGCTGCTGACGTTGCATGACAGCTAACAATGTTCGCGTTTAAGCTGGAAAACAAATCACATCATGCAACATCAAAACCTGAAATCTCGTCATCGAAAATTACGCGAATTCATTCAGCTTTGTGCTTGCAACACTCGAGCGAAAGTTGCGAGCCGGTGTGGGCAGGGACTCTACGGGCGGCTACTGCCATGTACTCACTGGTAGCAGTGGCGCTCTCCCTGCACCTTGCGCAGGATGTTGACGCGGTAATAGTACCGCAGCGCACGCGACATCTTGTCGTAGTTCATCGAGAGATGGTTCTTCTGGACGCCCCAGAGGCGCGCCAGGCCCTGCGGGTCCACGATCTTGAAGACGCCCGTCTGCGCGTTCTTCCACGCGATGAGGTTGTTGAAGCGCTGGAGGGGGTCGTTGAGTAGCTGCTGGAGGAAGTCCCAGAGAAGTCGGCCGCCGGAGCCAGACTCGGACGGCTCGTTGGGGCTGGGCGGCGGGACCGGGTCGCGCGCCAGCTGCTGCTGCTGCTGGGCCTGCTGCTGCTGTTGCTGCTGTTGTTGTTGCTGCTGCTGCTGCTGCTGAGCCTGCTGCTGCGCCTGCTGTTTGGCCCAGGCTGACTGGAGCGCCGCCTGGTATCCGGGCGACAGCGGCGGGTTGACGGGGCTGCGCTGCGGCGACTCGGAGTCGCGGCTGTCCTCAGAGTCGGAGGGCGTCGTCTGCTTGCTGCTGCCGGCCGACAGCGGCCCCGGGAACAGCAGCTGCCGGTGCTCGGGCCGCTTCGGACTGGCGCACTGCGAGTCGAGGCTGGAGGCCGGCGACAGCGTCACCGAGGTGGAGGTGTGCAGCGCCGCCGGGAAGCCGTGCGGCGCGCCGGCAGAGTCGCCGCCGGCCGACAGCTGCGTCCAGCTCGGCGAGGCCGATGTCGGCGCCGACAGAGAGTGCGGCGTCAGCGGCGAGGCCGGCAGCCGCGCCATCGCGTCCCGCAGCAGCATCTGAAGCGCGTTGTGTACGATGTCGCCGGCGCCGGGCGCCCGCTCAGACAGGTCGGCCTTGTTGAGCATACATAGCGCCTTGCCTGGAATGGACAGAGATCAACTGTCAAAACACGGACCGCGTGCGCTTCGGGAGCGGCCTCCACGGCACCCCGGGAGAGCGTGCCGCCTAATCCCGCCCAGCCAATCCCGATTTGGTGCAACGCTGTTTCCGTTTCAAAGCGGCGCGCCGGCCCGGATTAGATTGCGTTTGAGAACGGGTGCCGACCTGACCGCCCGGTCGGGTCACTTTCGATGCATGGGACGTGACTCAAAAGCATGCTGAGCAGCGGGCGCGGGCGGCCTCCGTCGAACCGGTTAGATTAGTTTCGGCATCGCCGGCGCCTGAAGGCCGGGCTGGCCGCCGGGACCGAGCGGTGCCCGGTAGGTGGAGAGAGGTGGAGCGACGAGGGAGCTCTTACCGTTCATTCTAAACCGGTCCAGCTCGATGGGCGGCAGCTCGAACTCGCGCTCGCACCACTGCAGAAACTGGCTGACGTCCTCCCGGCTCCAGTGCCGCGGGTCGGGCGCTGTGAACAAAGGAGGGTTCAGGTCAGGTCATGGCAGGTCACAGGAGTTTGCAAACAGGCCTGTCGCAAACACAGTGAATACCAAGTACCCATTCAGACATCGGGCTTCTCTGAAATAGTTACCACACATCAGCAGAAGTTGTTACTGTCCGACTGGGGTTTTACGAGTGGATGTGCGGCGTGGGCGGACGTTGAGACGACTCAGTGCGTCAGAGAAGCTTAGGCGCCAACCACGAGTGCTCTGGACAATCATAAACACAATCCCTTCCCATATAAACAGCCACCGTGGCGTGTTACACGTACCTCCCCGGCCCATGGCGCGTGGCACACGTGACACGTGGCTCGCCACGGACATTGTCCAGATTTTGCTGCGCCTCTGCCTCCGCCCGTGATCGGATGGGCGTTCAAGGCCCGCGGCCGCCCGTGAGCCGGATGTCTCTGCCACACCCGTATAGCTGCACACTGCACAGTACAGCACCGGCTGCAGCACCGGCCGCAATGGCGACCTCCGCACCTTATGGCTGGGCTAGCCAGTAGCGGCGTGGAACCGCGGACGGTGGCCCAACCAGGTGGTGTACGGGGATTATGATTAAGTGTCGCCGATTGTGTCGACCAGGGTGATGTTCGTTGACATGCAAACAATGGTCGGGTGGGGTTTCGGGACATTCCGACCACCTGTACGTGGTGTGAAGTCATGGCGGAGATTCCGGGGCCCGCATGAGCGACGGCTCTGTTTCGGTGGCATGTGCCGCCCTTCACTCTTGCACCGGGGTCGATGCAGGTTTGATGGTTGATGAACAGCTGGTCACCCCGTTGTGCATGCGCGCGTCGGGATGGGTGCGGGTGTCACCCAGGTAGTTAGTGTGGAAGAGGGAAGCGCGCGGTTCATCACCCCGGAAGAGACGGTCGGAGCGAAGGTCGCGCGGTGCGGCCTCACCCGGAACTGGACGGCGCCTGTCCGCCCTGTCTCCGTTTATCTGTCGTGGAAAGTGCAACATCCGAGAGCCAAACAGACCGCGTCCGAGCCTGTGTCGGACAGGACAGGGCCCAGAGTCCAGACGGCATCAGCTGTCAGGACAGGGCGTGAACATGACAGCGCGGCCGGATCATGAAGTGGGAGCCGGGATGAATTGCGTCATACTGGAATTCATTCCACAGCTGATTTGGACTGGAGTGTTGGCTGCTCCAGTAGTGTTGACTACGTGACACAGTAACAAGGCCTAAACATGAACGAACCCCGAAAACGCAATAACTCGTTCTACTCACGCAGTTGGTTGGGCATCTGGGTCTTGAAGTCGTATGGTGCCGGGCTGGAGGGTATGGCGGCCGGACTGAACGGCACCGGGTACCGCCACAGCATGTCGGGTGAGAACGAGAGCGGCAGCGGCAGCCGGTCCATGCCGCCCCCGCCGCCCCCGCCGCCGCCGTTACCCTGCAGGTTCAGCGGAGGGACGCGCATCCCCAGCTCTGAAACAGCACACAGAAAACCGGTCAGCACGGAGAGGCCCCGGACGGCCACACAGCCGCACCCTCGTGCGGTGACGACACTAGAATATCCCAGCCGGCGCCTCTAATCCGGCGATAATGCACCGGGCCGACTGCGGTTTTGCATAAAATCATCCCCATTCATTCGATTTCATTCAAAAACCGTGCGGTTAAATACTGTGGCGTTTCCCGTGGTGGTTGCGAAACACAAAACTTTTGTGAAATATCGGGGGCAGGAGCGGCGCGCCGTGAGGGGAGGGAGGGTGAGGCCGAATGGAACAGCTCCGAGGCTGCGGAAGGCGCTCCCCTCCCCGGCGGGAGGCGGACCGAGACATACGCTCCTGTCTGCCGGAACGGGCTCGGCTCAAGGACAGCGCGCTCTCCACCCGTTCCGCAGCAGGGCTGCGCAGCAGAGGCCATGTCGACTCGAGCGACCTGAACAGGCCCTTGCTGAGCATCACTGCGGAATTAACCGGGGCTGAACCCCGACTGAACCGGGGGGTAAACCGACAGATTGCCTTGCGCTCTAGAAGCTGTCAAGTACCACGCCGATGAAGGCGTCAATAATTTACGGGTTGAATTTATGCGGGCGTGATGGCCGCGGGATTCCCAGCCTGCAGCATGCTAGCAGTTCGGCGGTGTCGACGGTCATGTGACGGCTGGACGCGACAGTCGCAAAGGCTGACATTCTGCCCTCGCCTGACTCTGTCGTCTCGCTCGGCTGACCACGTCCAGCCGCGGGCCCGGCGCCCGTTCCCAGCGCGCTGACCGTTGTCGACCTCCGCCCGACCCTTCGTCCGGCCGGCAGGGTCCTCACGGCAAACAAGGGAGTAATCGTCGGCCGGCGGCTGAGGTGGGCAAACAGGTGCCGCAGCGCCCCTGGCCAGTCCCAGCGCCCACATCCGGTCCCGCAGGGTCAGAGGTCACGCCGCCGGAAATGACCACGGCGCGCCGACCCGACGGGTCAAACAGGTCACCGGCCGGACGGCAGTGCGACGTCGTCGACCTTCCGTGTCCCAGCCGCGTGAGACCCGCCGGCGGACAGTTCGGCCGTCCCACAGTCCACCGTCGGCCAATTCCGACATGCCGACGGAGGTCGGGCGAACGCGGCCAGCCGTCGGCACCGACGCGCCGCCCGCCGGAAGCTCGATGCTATGACGCAGATGTGACGTCAGCGCCGTCGGCCAGCATCCAGTATTAACAGGACACCGGCGGCCCATTGGCCGGATGTTAATTGGTCGTCGCCACGGCGGCGCCGCCGCGACGGATATTGCAGCGGCAGCGGCGCCGGACGCGGCGAATCTGGCGCTCCGCGACGGCGGACGCGGCGAGTTGCGGCGCAGGAGACGGTCCAAGGCCGGCGCGGTGCACAGATGTCGGCCGTTTCCGCTCAACAGGCAGGTGTTCCCAGGGCAGACGGTGCCGGTGTCGCGGCCGCCACCTGTCTGTCCCGATACCATCTCCCGCGGCCCGTCTGAGGCGCCCTGCGCGCTGACCTCGGGTCGCCGCGCGGCCGGGGAAGCGCCGCTCTGACGTCACACGACCACCGGAACGGGTATTGATTGGTCCAAGAGCCGCCGCCCAGCGGCCCAGTGCGTCACACTTCATGACAGGGGCCGCGCGGTGGCCCGGTGTATCGCGTCGCACCCCGGCCCCTCCGAGGAACTGCGGTACTGTGGCTCGGTGCCTCCTGTCCACCGACCGTAACACTCAGCCTTGAGTGTTGACCGGAGGCAGGAAAAGACACCTGGATAACACTGCACGACATTTGGTGGCCTGCGATGACTCATTTTGGTTACGTCAATCCGCAAACCCTGAGATGTTGCGAAAGATGCGATGAGCTGCACTCAGTATGTGCTCGACGCGCAATAACTAGTCCACTGATCTCTATCGAACGATAAGTGGCTGAGAGGGATTTACAGCCTGGTATTTCCCCAAAATAAGCTCCTGGCCATCGACCTGACCCCGGCCAATCCGGGATCATGGTTCAAAGTTAACAGAGGACAAAAACGCACGGCCGCTCACTGCAGACAGAGAGCCCGCCCTGTGTCCCGGAGCAGGAGGAGCGCCAATAGAAAACCACTTAGGCGCTACTTGACAAACTTCCCGTCCGCTCAGAGTTCCACGCCCCGCGCGACAGAGCGGTCGCGTCGTCTCCGGCGGCGGGCGGCCGGCCAGCGAACAGACGTCCGCCGCCTCCTCCTCTGGCGGCGGCGCTGAGACACTCGCCAAGAATGGCTCAGCGCGTGACTCTCCGGAAGCGGAGTCATCCCGCCGTGGGCGCGGCGCGAATTCCGCGCCCGTTCCGCACGGAACCGTGACGCCGCGAACAAAGACGCTCGCCGCCGAGCGAGCCGAGAGGCACGCCATATGGACGCTCTCCTCCCGTTGGCCAGCGCGGTCCGGCGCGGCGGAATGGCCTCCTCAAGCACGCCGCACAAAAGGCAGGTCATTAGGACACATTTGGACACACAGCGCACGGATAATAGGTTCCCCAGTGCGTGTGTAAGCCGTAACGCCGACCGTTCCGCCGCCCAGATGGAATGTAGCGACAATTTCCAACAGAAGCGGACGCCGACAGTGGCGGCGGACCGGTGCATAACTGAACCCGACCTGCTGATAATGGCACCCATGGCCCGGCGGTCCATCTGCCGCCATCCCTCTGGCCGCCGCTCCCGCCCGGGCGGCCCCCGGCTCGGCGGCGGCGCGCGGCCCTCTGACCCGCCGTCGGCCGCCGCCACCGACGGCGCCGACGCACCGACGAACCGGAAGCGGCGCTGGTCGGAAACGTCGGCGGCTGTTGCTATTTGCGGCTCGCTTGACGTCAGAGCGGCAAGGTGAATGTCGTCGGCGGCGATCGACCGTCGGCGGCGGCGGGAGGCACCGCGCGCCCGGCCGCCGGCGCCCCCGCCCCTCAAATGATTCACTCCCTCAGAATCGTCTTGACGTCAGTCGCGAGCTCTCTTCACAGACAGGCGCGCACCGAGATTATTTTTACCGTCCAGCTCGATGGGCTAATTTGGGGCTGGGCCGGGGCTATTTTCCGGGCAGGTCGCGGCCCGGGCCGCCGGTTGCCTGGCAGCGGGTGGCTATTTTCATGACACCGCCGGTGCTGTCGCGCCGTCACGATCCCTGGATAGTGACGCAGGCGGCCGCCGCCGCCGCCAACTTCCGAGCACCACCAAAAAAGGCGCCCGGCCGCCGCCGAACACAGCGCTGTACGGATTCGGACCGGAGCGAGCGTCAGGGCCACCGAAGCCGGAGCGGCGCCCCTCCACGGAGCTATATCGCGCTTCTCGAGAGCAGATCAGAGCGGAAGGTCGGCCGGGCGGCTCTGCGGAGCGCGCTGCGCACCCATCTCGGGCCGGTTTGGCCGTCCGTCCGGCGGCTGAGCTCTGCCATTGGCGGTGCTGGACCGGCTGGACCGGTCGCCCCCCGCGCGACACAGCGGCAGCGGGACGCGCGGCATTATCATGGGCCGCCGTGACCCTGAAATCATCTGATTTCAGCGAATGTGACGACAATGCAAATGTCCGTCTGATCCCTATTCCAGTGCTGACGTGCGACGGCAATGGAGGGGACATCCGGATCAATGCAGCGATCGGCCGTGCAGTCGAATGGTCAGCGGGAAAGGTGCAAGTCACCGCCTCAGCTGATTTGGGTAAGCAGAGAATATTCGATTGACGGAGAAGAGCTGTGGCATCGATCTCCTCCCTTCTGCACGACCTAAATGGTCGTCATTGGCTTATGTTTCAAATGCACCAAACAAGCGACAATCCTCGGCAGAACGACAATGCTGTACTGAGGACCAATTGGAGCCAGAACAACGGCAATACCTACAACAAGCTATAATACACTGCCCGGAGACTGGCTGCTCCTGCCTCCCTGCTACATCAGCCTTATCCCCGAGCTGGTCCACAAATCCCCGAACGAGCCCTCTGCTCTGGGATCTGACCCAGAGGTCATCGGTCGTCGTCGGCTGGTCGTAGAGCTCGGCGGTGACATCTCTCTCGGCCGTCTGTCCGATGCGCAGCAGCTCAGCGAGCGGAAACCCGCCGGAAGGAGCCGCGGCGGCGCCATCGGCAGTCAGAGCTCCGCTGCCATCGGCTGTAAGCCTTTCCGGTGGACAGTCGAGCGGCGTCAGCACTCAGCAGTGAACACAAATATTGCTCTGTCCCTTTTCACAGGCAGCGAAATATTCCGCCGATTCTTTAAGGTTGTGAACTTTCGAAGACTATCCTTCTACGTACTCAAAAGTATATTATCTTTGTCTCCATCACTATCACTCAGCTGACACCAGCCCCTGTGAGGAGCTCACCGGTATCCCCGGCCCTTTTAGCGGCTCCGAAGAGCGGCGTGGCTCCCTCCGAACTGAGCCCGACCCGACCCCGGCGGACGCGAGCTGGGACGCTTATAGACGGACGGTGCTCTTCGCTCCGCCTCCGCGCCCCGAGAGCTGCTGCAGCTCTCGGCGAGGGCTGCCGCCGCCGGTTCCGGCCGCGCTGCTGACGTCAGAGTGACGTCAGCACTGGTCGATGGCTGGCCGAGCGGCCACAAGTGGGCGCGCCGATTGGCAACCGCTTGGCGCCACATTCGTGCCGCGCGCATGACCGCCAGAGCGCCAAAATGACTGGGAGATGATCCCCTTCCTCCCTCTCTTCATGGTCATGGGTTGAACCGACTTCCTGTATCTGCAGAGAGGCTGGGCCTCATCTCGACCCGTCCCGTACCAGCCACGACTGGCCTCTGTACCCCGTCTGTCAGGAAGGGGAGGCAGGAGGCCTACCATCAGGCCAGGGGTGAATTTAGCGCCGGGTAAGCCCCGTGACACCACTCTACCAACGAGCACCAGCTGACTGACGAGCGCCACATTTTGGGCCGATGGCCATCGAACTCGATGATCAACGGTGTGTCGATCGTTGGGCGGCCCGCAGGTCGAAATGGAGGCCGCCGGGAGGAAGCCGAGGGGCGGGAGGGCGATC